CAGCCAAGATGCCCATCATCCGCAACCCGTTCCGCAAGCAGGACGAGAATGTGCGCCCGGCCGCCACGCTGAATGGCATCGAGCACAAGGGCAATGGCAATGGCACGCCGCCGGTCAAGCCGATCGACATCAAAGAGAAGGAGCCGGCCGAGTACAAGCTGAGCGGTACGCAACAGACAGCCTCCCATGTACCTAAATCAGATGTCGCTAACAGGGCAACAACACAGAGATCAACGACTCCGGCGTCTACCTCCCCCCCTCCCCACCCGAGCGCAAGTCCTTCTGGACCACCTCCTCCTCGCGCAGCACCACCAGCAGCAGCCACCACCGCACCCTCCTCACCGATCCCAACAATAACGAGCAGTTCAACATCTCCCGCGAATCCTTCGACTCCTACCGCCGCTCCTTCGACATCTCCGCCCGCAGCCCTATGGTCGGCGCCTACGACTCGGTCGGACGGCCACCGCGCGCATCCCTCGACAGTCGCAGCGCATACGGCGGGGCTGACTCGTCGCAGCGACTGCCGCGCGCGAGCCTCGATAGCCGGACCTTCCAGCCTCCGCCGCCGCGCAGCTCGAACAGCTTCACCCGCCCCAGCCAAGTCCCTGCGCAGACGAAAGAGGAGCGGGAGACGGACAATTTCGAGGACGTCGATATCGCGGACAAGCCGGCTCCGCCGCAACCCAAGAAGCGTGGGCTCTTCAGCCGGATAACCATGGACTCGGGCGATCACAGCGAGAGGCCTACGAGCTCCGACGGCAACCGGAGTTGGCATCACTTGGGCAGGAAACGAGGGCAGTCCGGGACTGGGTCGGAGTTGGGCAGTATGGCGCCGAAGCGCGAGACGACACCCAAGCCAGAGAGCCAGTTGCGGAGGGAGGAGGCGAGGGCGTCGGCGTCGCCGCAGCAAGTTGTGAAGCAGCAGACGGTGGACAAAAAGACGGCGGTGGATGCAGCAGTCGCGCAGCCGCAGAAGCCAGCAGAACAAGAGGGAGCGCCAAAGGCTGCGGAGACGACTGAACCGCAAGCCGACGCGGGCGCGGACGCCGAGGTGCAAAAGGCGGAGGATGGCATGGAGACATTAGATCTGGGTACGGATGACCAGGCGGCAGTAGCACAGAAGGAAGTCGCCGTCGCCGCCGCCACACCCGAAGCAGCAGCAGCAGCGTCATCGACAGTGGAAGGTCCAAAGGCGCCGAAGCCGCAGAACCCTCAGGCACCGGAGACTTAGCAGGGGTGTGTGTGATTCCTGAGTAAGTTCTTGGAGGCGCTGGAGGATCTTTGAGCGCGGCGGCGGCGGCTGGGGGCGTCATTGTATATTTTTGGTTCTCCCTTGGAGGGGCGCGGATGGGATGGCTGAGGGTGCATTTGGTCGGCCAGCTACTTGGCTAGTGTTACGATAGGGATGGCGGGGGCCGGTGTGGACAAAGCACGACTGGATGGATATATGGGCGGGTTTTACGTGGTGTTGGGACTGGTTGGATCAGGGTTGCGCCACCGGGCAAAGGATTGGGGACGCAACGGGTCTGCGCGCATTCTGGGGTCTGTTTGATGATGACAGACACTGTATGGTTGGCATGAGTACCATTTCCTGGATGGAACAGGGGCATGGCATGGCATGGAACATAGGTGTATGAGTCTATGAGATGAGAGCGTTTTTCACTTTCTTGTGCAGACTTTAATCGAATGCTAGCTTTGCTCCTCGGCTGAGGACGCCACGGGCTGCCGCTACCTTACTGCATTCCACTTCCACTCCACTCCTCCACTCCGCAGTCTGCGTTGCGCTCGCTCTCTTTGCCGTCGCGGCTCTTCAGACGTGCCCTGACCACTTCGCCCTCTTTCCTGGCCGAGCAGCTGGTTGCGATGGCGCAGGGTTCTTCACCGTCCAACTCGCCGACACGTCTCTTCGCTCTTCGCCGGATTTCAAGAAATGGCCTGTAGGCTGTGCCGAAAGGCCCTTTCGTCGACAATGCATGATGCTGGTCTCGACGGCGCTCGCGGCCTGCCTGGTCGGCCTCATGCGGGTTTGATTCCACTGATCTGTCTGGGGATATTGCTGTCGGAGAGCGTCCGGTCTGCACATGGCTCGCGCGGCTGGCTCGGGAGTCCCGGGAGTAACACGAAGCTTCGCGCATGTGGTTCCTTGTGGTCGACAAAGGTTTGGATGCGAGTGTCTCCGCGCTCATGCGGCCTCTGCAGCTTCGAAGCGCTGATCTCGCCTTCTCGGGAGGGAAGGTGCGCCTGGCGCAGCACCGCAGCGAGCGGTAGATTCAAATGTCCCGACTGGCGGCGTGCTTGCGATGCCACATCTTCATAGTCAGGTCCACGCGCATATCCAACGAGATTGGTTTGAAGGCTCGGATGTCTTCTTTCGTTACGGCTGCACCATTTACCACAGGACGTGGCCTCGGTGGCGACTGCGTACTCTTGGGAGGTGGATGCATGACGCCGCTTTTGGGGGCTGTGAGAGATGGCGTGAGGGAGGCGTCGCTGAAGTTGGAGCTGTCCGTAGAGGCAAGGTGGAATTACAAGTCGAGCGTAGGCCATGACCCAGCGTGGCGTGGGAAGGGGATATGTAGTGCTCTTGGAGAGGTGCGCTGCAATAGTCTTTTGGGCGGGAAGTTGTGATATAAGGTTGGCTCGCGAAACGCGCAGAGGTCAAAGGCACCAGGTGGAAGCACTCTGTAGTACTCACGGAGAACTCGTAGCCTTGATCTATATGGATGTTTGGCAGATGATACGGCACGGGGGCATATTGGTCTTGGCTAAACTGCGCGGTCTGTCGAGCTCGTTGTTGCGAGCCCATGTCCTGGGATGTTAGCGGCATTACTACGGCGAAGGACCTAGCTCTGCACTGCTGAAGCCATCTTCAGTCCCTAGGTTTAGACTGTACCCATACTAGGGCGTCGTGGAGTAGTAAGACTGAGAAGCGACGAGCAGTCAATGCATTCCAAGGTCGTGTGGTTCTCCTGATATGATACATGCCATGTAACGAAACCAGTAGAACGGAGGCGGTATACCAGAACTGTCAGGCTTCCCAAGTCGTCAGCGTACTACCGGCTTAGTGGTCGCCATGCAGCAATACAGTGAAGGCTCTACCGACGTTCATCGTGCAAACGTTGGCTACAGCAGGAGGGACCGACGCCTGTGTCCTACCGGCGGGTGCGAGGCAGAGCGCGGATCTGTAGCGGTGATGCGGGCCATACGCGGCCATTGCTGTTGGGAAAACCAACCAGCCTAGATATCCATCGCTGCTATGTAGCGGTGGATGGTGTTGAGGTGGGATACCAGTGTACTCAAGTATTGGTGCTGCAGCTGTTACATGGAACCCATACTATGAATACGGCATACACTTCTGGCAGACGGTTTTCGCGGCATCTTGCGGCTCAGTGTCAGGAAGGTATGCTCTGGTGCTGGGACAGGAGAAGACGTCGTGAAGGACTAGCCTCGAAACGCGCTTTCCCGAACTTCCACCACCTGCAGGGTTCGCGTACCTCGCGTGTCGTTTGGATTCTGCTCCATCGAGCCTCATAACGCGCCATTGATATTGTGCTGGTACGCTCACACACTACGACCATCAAATCACTACACACCACCTTTATTGCCACCCGGAATACCACTCATTATGCCGCCACGCAAGAGCAACGTCTCGACGGCTTCGAACGGAGCAGAGGACGGCGCAGAGTCAACACCAGCGAGATCGACCAAGGATGGCGTGAGTGTAGACGTAAGCCAGGAAAAGTAGCAGACGCCAGCGCAGCACTAACATCCAGCAGGATTTGAGCCTGCCAAAGTCGATGATTGCCCGACTCGCGAAAGGAGTACTGCCCGCGAATACCCAGATACAGAAAGACGCCCTGTTAGCTTTGCACAAGAGCGCCACCGTCTTTGTCAACTTCATCGCATCGAAGTATGTATGAGTCCCTACCGAGCTTCCACGTCTGGCTTCGTCGCTCTTGCCACTACGGGGAACGTCTCCAATGACAAGCAGTCCCGCTGACTTCCTGACAGCGCCTACGAGAATGCACAGTCAAGCGGCAAGAAGACCATCATGCCGCCGGATGTCGTCGCCGCTTTGAAAGACGCCGAATTCGAGAACTTCCTGCCACGATTGGAGGCCGAGCTCAAAAGTATGTCATCTGCTGAACATTTGCCACCCTGGGCGTAGAGATTCTCCGGCGTGTGCGCACATCACCAAGTAGCTAACATAGCGCAACAGAGTACAACGACACGCAGTGTGACAAGCGCAACACCTACCGGCGCAAGGTCAAGGAGGACAAAAAGGTCACGGAACCTGCGCCCGAAGATGGTCTCGAGGAGCCAAAGGATGGCGAGACCACGGAAGCTATCAATGGCACGAATGGCCACGCGGAGGCGGAGACGGAGGATGCAGAGCGCCCGGCGAAGAAGCTCAAGGGCGATGCAGGGCAAGCTGTGGCGCCCGATGCGGATGGCTTGCAGGAGGGTGACATGGATGACGAACAGGACGCTGACGACCACGAGGACGAAGAAGGTGAAGAGGACGGTGCTGATGAGGATGAAGAAGACGAGAGCGAGGGAGAGGAAGCGCAGGATCAGACGATGGAGGATCCGGGCGACGAGACTGAGGACCGAGGCGAGCTACGTGACGAAGCACTCGACGAGCCTGACAGCGACTAGCAAGGGGGCGTCGGTAATCGTCGTTGTTTCATGCGTTTACGGGACTGGCATAGCAAGGCGTTACTCGCTCAGAGGACTGCAGGCTTCGCAGAGCGTTTGCAGTGATTGGCTCTCTCCTCGGACAATGCGGGACTTGTGCCAATATAGCACTTTTGGCTTGAAAATGGCTGTGACGGGTCAACAGTACTATTACCGCAATCTGCGACCGTTTCCATCTCAAAATTCAGCGTCGTTGACTAATAGCCATACGGTGGCTCTTCGGCAGTTTTCTTATGCGTATATATTTAGTTACACCTATTAACCCCGCAAAATCCGGCCCAATCTTGTGTCGAGAATATTTCGTCCTGCTGGCGCAATGGTAGCGCGCCAGACTTCTATCATTGATATCTGGAGGTTGCGAGTTCGAGTCTCGCGTGGGATGTGACTCCGAAAGGTCACATACCTGACACAGCACGTTTACACCGTTGCATTTCTCTTTTGCTGTTGTGGTACGGTTACACCATGCAATTCCCTTTTGCTGTTGTGGTGAGCAGCTAACGGAGCAGGGTATGTATCAGTCTCATTCTGTAGACGAAGTTCGTTAAGAACTTCAGGCAGTCTAGTTATCTATGTCCCTTTCAACCTCTGCTACTTTGCTGGTAGTCTGATCGGGAGTACGTGCAACTGCCATGCGGAAAGAGGTGACGTTAGCAGCATGGTCCGTGAGCCATGCTATGATGTGAGTGTGCGCGCGCGTATGTGGCTGATGCTAGTAACGAGATATGGATAGATGCATGGTAAATCGTTTGAGATGATAGACAGCCGGTACATCATCACCTATGATTTGTGTGAGTTTTTTGGTAGTCCCAAGCCATTTGTCTGCAGGCTTACACCTAACGAGCAGGCCGACGGCGAAGCTTGTACTTAGTCGACGGTTGGGGGGTTGTGTATCGCGGGTTGGACGGCAACGAAGAGATATACGCCAACCGTCGCTCAAGTCATTTCGGCTTCAACAGGGCTTCATTGGTCCTGTCCTCCTGGGCATCTTAGTTCTGAGCTTATCGAAAACGGTACGTGTGAGCTCCAGCAGGTTTGAAGCACTGCACAGCCAACATATGCGCCGCCACGTGCAAGGTATGGCCTCTATGGAAAGATGGTCGCAACTATTTAGCCAGCTGGCATCCCGTTCTCTGCACTCCCGCAAGACCAGGCTCCAGGGAATTGAAGCGGGAGCGTAGATAATGCGGACGAGTAGAGAATGTGGGTTGCAGTACGAGTGGAGGCTGTATCCAGAGAACTTTTACACTAAGTGCAAAGACACCCGAATAATCATGGCATGACAGGGCCTACATGCTCTGCTCCAACTTCCGTTGACTCTGCCGACTCCCACCGCATCCACTGCTTCTCCATCTCGGTACTCATTCTGACATACGTGCGAAGAGGCGCCACTGCTTCTACCTCTTCTCCTTTCGTCAAGGGAGAGGACGAGACCCTCATGACGCCAAGGGCAAGTAGGACACCTCGTGATGTCGAGCGCGTGAGTCACCACTCGATAGTGGCAATGGAGAAGAGATGTAGACGTCAGGAAGAAGCGCTCTGCCGTATACCTGATTCTGAGAGCGGACATCGGCACGCAGTTGGCTCGTGTAAAGCTTAGCGATTGCGCGTCTGAACTCTGAAGCAGTCTGTGTTGCTGCATTCTTGGTGCAAACGAGGGAGATCTCGTCTGAGTGGAATACACTAGCAGATCGCAAGAGCTGAAGTTGGACAGAGCAGTGTTTAGCCAATCAGCCACTCGGCTTGCACCTGCTTCTCGCCAATCTGAGCGGTTCGGCAACTGACCCGAGCCCGCACGGTCGTATGATCAAGCAATCGAGGCCAGTCGTCGGACAATTCTTTCCTGCTTTCGTCCTATACCGTAATACGGCATCCGACTCCAGGCATCTACCTAATACGGCAGCCTCGCAGGCAGCGGCCCGCTAAAGGCCGAGGGCGAGCTAGTGGTGCAGCTGACGATCATAACCGACGCGCAATGCTGCAGCTATCCGTGGTGGACGTTTGGAGGCCATGTGCTCTTGTGCCAGGCCAGTAATAGTCGCGTGTGGCAGTCGCATCGAAGTGACCCCGGGTTCTACACGATGCCGTGATCCAAGAGTGCCAACAGGCTTGCATTCGGGTGTTATCCGTTGGCCATACCATGGCGCAATATCCTGCGGCCTGGAGAATGGAGATAGCATCATGCACCCGAGCCGAGGCAGGCTGATCAGCCTGATCTACAGCTAGGAGCCTGGGAGGTACTTGGCCATGCCTGCAGCTGCAGCTTGTCAAGTACACGGGTACTTGCACGGCAGATTCTCCACGACCGCACGACGAGCAAGCCGCACGGCTGTCTGCAGGTTGCTTGCTTCGCTGTGTACGAGGGCTCGGTGTTCGCCGGGCGAAACGTCATGACGGTGAAGTGTCCACGAGCGTAGCGTACTAGCGAAAGTATGAGTCATGACCATGGCTGTAGACTCTAGAATGTATGAGATGCACGAGCGAAGGCAGGAGAGCCAATGATGCGACAAGGTCAAAGCCCCTAATTCCGGTTTGCTGAAGTACGGAGGTACCTTGGATACTGAGTTTACCCGGGCTCCAGGCAGGCGAGGTGGAGAGCAAACTAAACTGCAGTATACTGTTCGGGATTCGGAGGCTTCGAACACGAGTGGCAAAGGCGAGTGGCCCGGCGTAGGGTAGGCGCGATAGCCAAAGATTTGTTGACAGGCGGCGACGACGTTCGGGTTGAAGTCGCGACGGTATCAAGTCATGGGATGTTCATCTAGCGCGATACATACAACCAAACCTCCCGGTCGTGTCAACAAAAACACGCAAGCAACTACACTGCGTCTTGGGGTCATTGCTGTTGACGTTGACGTCCACAGCACAATGTTCGCTGTGGCACAGTCCTCAGCGTCAGCATCGGCGAAGCGAGATCCTGATACATTATTGACTGGCCAACTCAATACTATTGCACCTTAGGCTCGACTTCCGCATTTGCGCGATCCTGCCCTTAGCCTCGATACCATTATGCAAGTACTTCGATCATGCGCCTAACGGACGGAGATCTGATTTAAGCCACCTTGCCTCGCTTCCCATCTTCTCTCGAGCTCTCCATTCGTTGGTGCTTGTATGCAGCCTTGCATTACTTCCCGCTGCGCGACCTCGGCGGAGGAAGGGTTACCCTTCTTAACCAGGCGACGCCCTTGATCCCAGGTAGTCCGGAGATCGTTCTATTGGGTTACGGACAGACCATCGCAGATCAGCATCCGGCGGGAAAGCTCAAGGATACCAGTGGCACAGTGCACCACAGACTCGGCCCACTTGTCAGGCTTCTCAGCGCCGCAAGCCTTGAGGGTCTTCTGCTGTGCGACACTTTAGCTTACCGCTGCCGTGGCGAGCAATACCAATCTGGGAGCGAATCAAAACCGATCGGCGGTATAGGTCCATGGTTGCTCACGGTTAAGAGCACGAGCTGCTACGACTCCTTCTTGGCTAACTTCCGGGTAAGTCCATGCTTCTCATCGCCGTCGCTCAGGTCCGAATGTATGCATCTGGGACTACATCTGGGCATCTCAGCACGCTCGAAGCCTGAAGAAGACTGTACCCCTTGCATCGCGCCGGGACGAAGCACGTGTAACCCTTGGGCATGACCGACTCCCTGTTCCCTCTCGTAACAGTCGATACTCTGGAGGGAGAAGCCGACGACCAAGCGGCCCCCGTACAGCAAGCAACAAAGGCGCACGGGCAGGGTGTTGTATCAAGGAGGACGCTGACATCGACCGCTGGAACAGATAGTTTCGCGGGTTTATCTTCAGCGGGGCTACACGTCATTCCGCTTGGGCCTCGCTTCGGCCTTGTGCCACCACTCATCAACCGTCACCCACCGAGTCTCACCACCCACCTTACTTGGCAGGACTCGACCTTGCGTGGCAGAGACCCATCGCATCCCGGTCGTCGCATTGTGGAAGACAGGGTTCTCCGGTATCATCTCGAGCTTAATCGCGCTGCACGATCCCAGGGTCTGACCGTACGCTGCGCTCCGCGCCGACTCCACCAGCGCCCGCAGGCGTCGCCGGACAGCCATACATGCTGGGAACGGACGGCGCGCGCGACCGAGTATCTCCAACAGCTCACCGCCACAAGGCACGCCGCGCGAAGCAGCAGGACCGGGTACCGGGAAACCGTGCGACACCAGCAAAGGGTTCTGCGCGCGGGCGGAACAGAGGGATGAGTGATGCTGGCCGTGTCGCATCGGAGGTCTTCAGCGTTGCCTTCAGCACACTACGGTGTCATGGACGAGTCGGGCACCATCAATCCGGCTGCCTTGAACACGCCTTGTAAGCAACTCTCGCACCGGCGCTGCCGTGTGACGCGTGCAGCCAAACAACACGCTGTCGCACTTGGCTGAAGCCGCGTAAACGGCACTCCAATGCGCATGCTGACCGATGCATTCGTACATAGCTTCCACCATCGCACCGAGCCTACTCTCCCAGCCGAGTCCTCGAGGTCGAAAGCGAAGTCGGTCGCCAGATAGTTACGGAGCAGCGCCGGGTCAAGAGATTGGTACGTACACGAAGCAGGTAACACGCATATTGGCTTGCAAGCGTCTTGTCACGGGCTAGCCGAGCTGGGTGCTGATATTGTACGCTTAGATGACGTGAAGCCTGTCAAGCGTACCCGAACACTGAAGCCTGGAGAAAGCTCAGGCGCGACCGCGCAAGCAATGCCCCTCATGTCGCAACATTCGATTCGCACGCCGCAGATCAAGACGCAGTCACTGCCGCAACCCTCGCCTAATCAGAGTTCCCCGCAGCGCTCTACACCTGGGTCGGCGACGAAGCCGACAGTGATCAAAGCGCTACCTACTGTACGCGACCATACGACCGACCAGCTTGGACCCGAGGGGGACGAGTACATCCCAAGAGAGACCGACCCTGACGGCGAGACGAAGGTCTCGATGGACGGATATCCCTTGGAAGGGCGCAAGTACAGATGCCGCACGTTTCAAGTCCCGAATCGAGGCGAGAAGCTGTTCATGCTCGCCACCGAGTGTGCGCGAGTCCTCGGCTACCGCGATTCATACCTTTTGTTCAACAAAAATAGGTCGCTCTATAAGATCATCGCCAATCAACAGGAGAAAGACAATCTCATCCACCAGGAGATTCTGCCTTACTCTTATCGATCACGGCAGATTGCTATTGTTACCGCGCGGTCAATGTTTCGCCAATTTGGCAGCCGTCTCATTGAAAATGGACGGCGCGTCCGAGACGACTACTGGGAAGCCAAAGCGCGAAAGCAAGGCTTCACAGAAGAGGACATGGCTGGCGAGAAGCGGCCGGGTGCAGCCAAGGCGAGGGAGGCGGCTGCGGCAGAGCAGCATCATAACGCACTGACCTCCCTGCC